GTAGAGGTTACTCTAAATATTGATGTAGATACTTTAGTGTGCACTAGTCATAGCTGCCACGTCAGCAATCCGCGCACTTGGTAGGTACAGAGTGGATGTGTTAGTTGACAGTGCCACGTCAGCAATCCGTGTGCTTGTAGGTAAGGATTGAGTGTGTTAGTTAGTGTGTTAGTTGGATGCGTCACGTCAGCGATCCGTGTGCTTGTTAGGGTTATCCGCCAAGTCATCCATCCACTAGGAGTGGGATGGATGGTGGGGATTAGATCTTATCTCCTTGTACTTGTTGGTGAGAGCTATATAAGGGAGAGGAGAACCATTGTTGGTATCTCTCATCTTCAGAGTTTACGTTTCTATCTTCGAGTGAGCTTCTCTCTAAATCCTAGTGTTACAGACAACTTCTACGCAGTTAAACACATTACAGGACTTGACATCATTGATGCAGAGAAGTCATTCACGACACTTATGAAGAAGTGGATGATCAACTCTCTCGTACCTAATACTTTCACACTTCATATCTTTCAATGACATCTTTTGATTGGTCTTAGGCCTTTGGAATTTGTAAGACTAGATGTTGTATGTGCAAAATATAAATAGAAGTAGCAAAGGAGTTAATATGATTAGTTTAGTTATGACTAAATCTAACTAGTTTAAACTAAGTTTATCAAATTATAACCATGTTTAGCTATAATGTCTATACTTGGCGTAACTAGAGAAAATTAACAGATTTGAATGAGCATTTTATCTTGTCTTGTACAAAATCTAGAACCCAAGAGAAAATACTTTTGATTTCATGTTTAGTTTTGATTGATTTGACTAAGTAATGGAGACTTCATTGGCTAAATTAAATCTAATGTTGACCTACTGGCAAGTGGAGGTTTTAGAAGTTAGAAAGTCATGAATGACATGTCGGTACCTCAATCATCTAAGGATTAATAAACATCTAGAAGGTTTAAGAGTCAATGACATGTTGCCACGTATTGGTAAGTAGTGAAACTTACTATGATTTATTTTTGTAAAAGTAAGTTGGATATAAATTACCATTTGTCACTATAATAACTTCTCAAATAGTATATATAGAGAGGTAGGGAAGATACTCTTAGGCAAATTTGAAAAGTTCATGATGTAAAAACTTGTTTCATCAATGAAGTAGTGAGATTTTCAGTATATTGATGTGTTGATGTATGTGATGCGTGTAGAGATTGTATGAGAAGATGCTTGGGACATGAGCATGAGAAATAGTCATAGTTTTTTAGAACCATGATGAGCTACCACAAAGCCATCTGAGGTATACATGAGTAAGAGTCAGCTTGGAGATTGCAGATGAGACTCCTGGCCACGTAGTTTGCAATGCACATTCTTGGCTAAATTTTCAGTACTCCGAGACTCCCCTTTGTGGAATAAACTCATACAAGCCTAGCGTTTACTTAGCCCATTGATGTGTGCTAAACCTCCGACGACATTTGAGGAAATCCAAATCACTTAGTTTTGATGAAACACACATTTGCTCGACAATAACTTTGGTTTTAGTCTACTTTGAGCTCACCAAGTGAAAGGTAGAAGATTATGTTGTCTGCGTGATCTTTGGCTTTTGAATATCATGCAATTATTGCCCTGGCACAGGCTACAACTTTGATATGGATTGTAAGAATAAAAAAGAAGCCAAATATACTTGTTTTAATCTAAGATCCCTAGTGAGGAAAAAATCACTGGTTACCACACACAATTCCAATTGGTCCTAGTAGAATGGCTTGGAATCTATGTTGACGAGGTTGTGGTTGATCCTTTGGTCATGTTTCAGACGTTTTTAGAGTTCTGCACTTCTATATATCGCACGATCATAAAAGCATTTTGATACAAAAAACTCACACTACCTTCATGATGGGTACTTAATCTCGGTCGTTGATACCTCTACATTGACCTTCACAAAGCACCAATATATAGAGAGTTGTTTTGCTCGCACTCTGCTCATTGCAATGGCTCTGCCGGCCATAAAGCAAGCTTAATCCATGCTTTAGTATTTGGCATTTATTGCTTGCCTTACTTTTGATCTAGGTCGTTGGACCTGGAGGACCGGTGAGTCATTCTACGCCTATACGGCTAGCCATGGCCGCCATTGACGTCATCCGCAAAAAACACTTAGCTTGTCTAATACTGTGAAGTGGAGAGGGCTAGTGCTTGGATCTCTTGACGTCCGCGCAAGGATGCGACATGCTTCAGGAGCTTCTACCATCGTGCGACTGCCGTAAACCAGTGGTGACATGTTGCTCATTTAAAAATCTCTGAAAACTATAGCTACTATGGCCAAAAAGTCCCCGAATCATTGATCCATGACTTTTTTGACTTTGCAACTACTCGGGACGCCTGGGCTTTTGCTATCACAATTTTATATCGTCTTTTTATATATCTGTGAACACGATGCCTTGGATTCCCTTGACATGGCAACAATGTCTTCTTGGGGTAGAGTTGTTTGCTACTCTTCTGCAAGATACAAATACATGGTCGCTCATGCGTGGTTCAATCATGCGGGTTATCTGATTGAGACGTAAGGCATGCATATTCAAGAACATCCAATGGTTCATTGTTCAACTGGAGCCTGTCATGCGGAATGCGACGGTGAATCTGGCCAGAATGGCATGATTGAGCGTTCAGTTGCTAGGGAAACAACAACCGGATGCGACTTTAAGTGCAGGCAATAAGTTCCTGAGTCAATGGGCTCGAAACGAGACTATCTGCATGTTTCAAGGTGATAAGGTTAGATGGGTGCATACACACCCGATTAGAGGTATGTTCATCTAGGTAGTTTTGGTTGGTTTGATCAGGTAGTTAAAAACATATCAGGTGTATTTTGCTCTTCTTGCAGTGGAATTCTCACCATTTGACTAAAACTAAAAAATAAAAATTGTTATTCTTGATGAGACATCCTGTAGTACAAAAGATTCCAAATTCTTTGATTGACCCCTCGACCATGAGAAGGGGAGAGTGGCAGTTGGAAGAGTGTGCTAGCAAGCCGAATGTACGCGAAAGTGATGTCCAAGGGCATTTTGAGTATTTTGAGCCTTGGAATGCACTCTTGGCTTACAAAAGTTGAGGTGATTTGTCTTCGGAGAGTGATGTTGTTTGTAGCGAAGAGGGCTTGTTGGTATGGACTTGTTGTCTTGTTGTGACATGTACTCGAGAATAGGACATGTACTCGAGGAGAGATGAGTTCTATCTACACTTCGGTGCATTGTGCAAGAGCGTAAATGGTGGGCCTCGTTCAGCTGCAGGGGTGGTGCTACTTCTAGGAGGGCAGGGCTGGACAAACCTGGAGCGAAAGAGATACTGACGACGAGGGAAGATCGAGTTATTACGCACCTCGTTTCACATCGTAGTCCACCACGCGATCGTACGTGACGTCACTCCATGCACGAGCGACCTCCACGTGTGGCTGCTGAGCTGTGCTGCGCTGTGGGTAGGTGAGGTGGGGGGGACAACGGAGGGTTGTGCTGTGGTAGTGGGTGTGCTTGCTTGTGTACAGACACCAGAATCCCACACACTTTGGAAGGATCCAAAATCGGGTCGCAACATGGATCGCCCTGAGTCAGGATCGATCCCAAGGGCGGGTGGGCAGCTACAAGAATCCATGGCGAGGGAGAGAAGAAGGGATTCGACCTCGACAAGATAGAGTCTTCGTGGGCCTGAGCAGGACGAGAATAGAATATATACCAGAAATGGTTTACGTTCGACGCCTCTTTTCTGCATGGTTTGTATATGGCCGACCTTCAGCTTCTGGTTGATGGTGAAAAAGTGAAGACAGCCAGACAAGTCTTCGCTGCAGAGTTCTCCTTTTGGCCACAAAAGTGGAGGACTCGATTTCGGCACCGAGAAGGTACAGCGACGTGTGAGCCTTGTGTGGAGAGTTTTGTCTGTGCTAGGGAGTACATGTGATATTGTGGCGAAGTGTCTGATTCGCCCCCTTTCAAAGCAACGCTGCTTCTGAAACGGTAGAATCCAAGGATTTGTCCGTGCAGAAAACTCATTTGCTTTTTAGTCCTGCATGGTCAGGTAATCAGCTCATCAGCTCTTTGGATTCCTGAACCTTGACAAGTCCGTGCAACTTGCAGAGGCCGACCAACTGACCTGAGATGCTTTAGCTAGATTGACCGACCCATCGATGCCTTCACTAAGCGCAGTTTGTTGTCGAATTGAGGTCCAGTTCGTCATGGAAGGTCAGGTCAGAGATTGCACGGGGTGTGGGTAGAGTATTCAAATGAAAAGCCAAATGCTACCTCACGTGCAGTGGAAGCATCTGACTTCATCGGCTTAAGTCACCTCTCAAAGTAGTTTTGCCGTTTCACCTACACAAAACTTTGCGTCAAGTAGATTCTGATAACTTGGATACGAAGGTTATACGGACGCTTGGTTTGCTACAGCAGCTTTAGAAGTATGTCCCTTGGCGGAATTAGTAGTCAGTACTGATCTTAACCTCTATGATCTCCTGCCTACAAGGTTACTGACAGACTATGCTTAGACTGTCGACAATCAACTCTATAATGCTTGCTTTTGGTTCTCTACGCTGACCCTGTCCTGCCTAGTTCGCCTAGATGCAACTTGTATGGAGCTCTGGCATTGGGGTATCTGGAAAGATCCAAGCAGGTAGATGTCGTAGACATTCTATTCTTTTCTGGAAAGGTCTAGAATCCTTTCGAGCCGATTCGTACAAGCTCTTAAACCTCTACTTGCTTTCTGGAGATCACAAGTGCAAGTTGAAGACTTCTTTTCTTTTCATGTATGTACCTCACCTCCATAGTATAGCAGTCATGCCGCGATCCTCGTCTTTGCAAGCCTGGCAGGCGTATCAACGCTGTTTCGTTCAGGAAAATCTACTTTGAAGAGGAGCATTCTCTTGGCACCAGACAGAAACTATCAGGGCCGGTAGAGAAGTTCTCTCCACCGCATGATCACTGGATTTTAAGTCTTACGAGAACACACCAACTGAGATGAAATATGCATGTATAGATGGATCGTGGTGTTTTTAATTTCCTTGTAGAAAATCTGTACAATCACTTGCTCTAAATTACAAGTTCCTTCTAATTCAGGGTTAATGACGCATGAAGCCTATCAATTCAGGCGTCATGAAGACAAAGTGTATTAAAACCCGTACTAATGTATATTTGTGGTGAGATGGCGATGTAGAAGGTTTTCATTGGTACACCCGGTAGCTGTTGACAGAATCCTCCCAAAGCACAGCTTTTTATGGCTCATAAGGGCTTTCGCAATGATCGTGCCAACAAGCGTATCATAACAGACTGGTTGTCATGAATATATTCACACATGACGAGTTTTCGTGACAAGTCGGGCCACAAGGGTATTCGCATTCCAGAGGACGAGGAGCAAAATCTCGGAAAGCACAGCTTTTTGTCACTAGTAAGGGCTTTATCAAGGATTGTGCCAGTAAACATATCGAAACAGCAGGGCTGTCATGAATATCTTTACACTCGAGACATTTCAGTGACAAGTCGGGTTACAAGGGTATGCGCAGTCCACCACAATGTGAGCAGTGTCGTCATTGAACCATTCACCCACGACCTGCGATATAGACTGTCGAATACAAAGATGACCAGATGTTGTCAGAAGCTCAGTCTGTCAAAAACATATTTGACATCAGAGAAATATGCCAAGATCTAGAAAATGCAATTCCTATACATTCGCCTTTACAGTAAAGTATAGAGTGACGAGAATGCATAAAATGTATCTACAGCACTGACGATTGATACACACATAAATCACTTCAAACTGTAGATTAAGATTGTCCTCTTGTAAGTTAGAGCTTTACCTTGCCATTAATTTTGGGTCCATCGGCTCCACTCCAGGACCAGTCTTGTTCAGACTGGCAGTGGGTATAGCAAGAATTTATAAAAGCTCCATCTTTGGGGTTCGTGATCAAGTCCTTTAGCTGATTTAGAAGCACATCCCTGAAACCTACAAATTCTCGACCAAGAGTATCAAAATGTGAGAAATCTGGATCTAACACGAGGAATATGTATAGAGTCAGTTTTACTACAGGCAGTAAGAGACCAGCAAGGCAGCAGATCTATCATAAAAGTGAGGTAGCATGATGATACAAAGACACAAGAGTTGTTGGAACTGGAGGAAAGGTTTGCAGTGATAATCGAGATAGGCATTTGATCATATAGTGACGTTCACACCTTGCACAAGTTCCATTTGTCCTTCAGTGCAAAGGGCTAAGTTCGATTTACAGCTTTCCCAGTCGAAACTAGGGTCCGCAGAGGACGGAATGAGGACGTTGTAGAACTGCACAACAAAAACACAGGAGAAATTAGGATTTTCAGCTCAGACTACTTGCCGACGCAAAAGAATCTATGAAAACTGCAGCATTGATAGCGAAGAGAAGAACGTGCTGAGGTGCGTAGAGAAAAGTCTCGAATTCTTACTTGGCCCACATCATGTCTGAACGCATAGACGAAACACAAAGCGTTTATGCATATCGCAACTTTGAAATTTGGACCGGCTTACCAAGAAACTAATGAAGAAAACATGCCCAGAATCGACACCAACTTAAGAAATTCAGATCTTATCTACAAGGCCCAGCGACATAGCTTTCACAACATTACAACTCTCTACGTGTCCGCATGCTGATCACGTTACCATCTCTGTGCATGAACGCACAGGAAATTCACAGTTTTAGATTTATCCAGGAGGAGAAGGGACACTTTCAAATAGCATCAAAAGATCAAGAAAATGATTTCCACTGAAACTCTACAAAAAGTAGCAAAAGAGATGTATAATTACCTGCCAATTGTCATAAGCAGGATTGAGCATAAAGAATGGCGTGGTGATGGTTGACAGCCGGTAGGTAGGGAAAATACACTGCACGAACATTCAACTTAAACTTTCAACTCCTTCCAAGTAATTCTCAGATGAAATTGCATCACATTCTTTGGAATCTACTGCGCCATCCACTTTAATGGGAAGGTATGATAATAATGAAACCGCTAATGCCAATTCCAACTCACGTATGAGACAAAGAGAAAATGATTTCCTCTCTAGATATCGTGATACGTGAAAGCACTATTCTCCCAACCGAAAACCTACGGATGTAGCAGACGAGATTACATACATCTTGCCACCAAAAAGATATTACACAATTACACGTATATATGAAAAACACAAAATTTTCACCACTCTCCTTCTAACAGGTGAAATAACTCTATGTTTGTCTGAATATCTCCAATACGTTTCAAATGCCTGCCTGTGAATCTTAGAAAGAAACTTTCCTGTTCCCTTGACCGTATCCATATAGGCATATTTCCTATAACATCGTCTAGTCGTAATGAAGCTACAAAGATTTATATCTTAGTACCTTCCGATGTTGTGAGTAAAATACAACGCTTCGACTACTTCATTGAAAACTTACCATTTTTAGGAATAACATATAACACCTGAGTTCAAGAAAGGGGCTACCAAGCTAACTCAACTGAGTACTGCTCTGCCTCACCGACTTCAGTGCAATGCCTATCTGAAGAGATTTAGGAGCGCTCGATAACCGCTACAAGGCCACATAGGCACAGATTTCTGTGATTGGATATCTCTGAAGTCTCAAGTAACTACAGGGATTTTCATGTTTATCTGTTCTTTGCTACAAACTGCTAACTCTCTTTGATTCTCAAACCTCAGAGATCGGAATCCAATGGTTCCTCTTTCTAAAAAAATGTCCAAGTCATTCAAATATGCAATGCATCCAAATAAACACTCAACAAACACACCATACAATAGCTGACTACAGCACGGAACCTTCATACTTATGCATGTATGTTTCTATACTTACCAGACTCGGATCTCTAACTGAAGTACAACTCTCCGGCAGCCTTTCTGTAATGTTCTGCAGGAGAAATCGCAGCACATATCAAACTCAAAGCTGATGATCAGAATTTGACCTGTGACTGCTCGTCCATCTAGAAAACTGTTTCCATCAAATCAGGACCCAATTTTCTCAAACGCGTGTATTCTTAAGTACTGACATTTGTGAGCCAGTATAAGTACCTGCAGCGTGACAACATCTCTGTATAACGATTCGATTGAATCTTGTCCTTTGATATCTGGCCTGTTAAAGAAGAGACAGAACAAAATTCAATTCACGAGTCGTCAGTGCCTCCAAATTTGAAAGAAAGAACCAAGAATGGGCTATTTTCCCTGTCAAATCATCCAGGTATTTCGAAACGTGCACCTAGAAACATACGATGTTGCACCTCAGGTTGAACAGGATTAAGCTAGAATGCAAGCGCTTAGTACGTTGATGCATTCGAGGTCAGGAGCCAGTCCTACTGCCAGTCCTCCACTCTGAGAATGCTACGGTGCAGATTTAATAGCAAATCAAGTTCTTTGTTGAAGAAATAGCAAGTGACCACTTCCATATTTAAAGAAGGACCGACTAATTCAGAGATATTACTACCAGGACATTGCGAAGAATAGGAATTAGAAAACAATCATACATGTGTACAAAAAACCCGGCATCGCTCAAGCACTTCACAGTAGCCTTTTCCGGCATAACGTTCTTGAAATTATCACACTGGAGCGTTGATGCCAAGCCACCTGCCGAGCAACCCGCCAGAAATCCCTGCATTCCGTTCCGCGCATTTAAGATTGCCGTATGCCAGAGTCTACTGCACTTGATTTACAAGAAAACTTTCTCACGTGGCAATATGATACCTTCGTTGCATTTTCCATCCCTTTTGCGAGGAGGTCAGTCATGACAGCATTCCATACTCTCATACCCCTGTAGTAAACAGTTGCAGTCTGCAAGGAACCACTGGAACTTCTCAGAAAGCAAAATAGTCTAGGCTCGGAATCTGAACTCTGTTTTGAAATATAGCTTTGGATTCTGTTCGCAAACACCATAATTTAACCAGGGGTTGGGTACTAGAGTTCAAAGAAAGCCCACATCCAGCAATTGCTGCCATACCCTTTCTGAATGGTGGTTTGCCATCGATTGTGTCATTGTCAACGCTTCATTGACCTCCCCAAAAAAGGAACCACCATCGCAATATTTGAACTTCACACGATTCCAATTGTAGAAATCTAACAAACACACACACAGTTGAAGGTCGTTCATATGTCTATCATCTTATACTTGCATGCCGTTAGGTGTCAACCACGCCACCCAGCCGCCACAACTAACACCTGGTCAGAAAGCACTTGACGTGACTCTGTATGCTAAAGAAGAAAGTATATCTACAATCAACATATTGGTCTATGCAACGAGGTAATTGCTCGTTCTTACAATATAAGACGAGATCCTTTCATTACACACCTGGATTGACAGCAGGATTACTGCTCATCATGCCTCCCAGGTAAATTTCATCAGGCATGTATCTGGAAGATCCCAGTTGAGTAAAAGCACGGTCTAGGCACTCCGCAGCAGTACGGCACCAACCCCCTCCCTGCACAAAACAGGGGCTTAATCCAAGAGAATGTCAATGTATCTGAGAAATGCCACCAAATAAGTGAGACAGATCACCTACAAGGATTTGCAGAGGGCAATTTCAGAGAGCCCGAGATGAAGACTGAATGAGAACGAAGTGGTTCAGAATTGGACATGTTGTTGGATCCGCTGGATACATAAACGTGGAACAAAACAGACGAAATGCAAGACTGGACATGAAGGAATTACTGCCCCTGATCGTTAATCTTTCACATTGTCTGAAAACTTGTATGAAAAAGGAATTATTTAACTCTAATCACTAGTGATTCAAATGTAGAAGGCAGGTAATATCCACACATGATCTTCAGAGATGAACACAAAGATGTGCACAGTTCGTAGCAGCATTGAGTTTAAAGAGCCCCCACTCTACTAGGTAAGAATGTATATGTTCAGAGTTTTCTGAGCAAGACAGGGAAGTTCAGGAAAAACCTCGAGGTGGACAATCCATTTGTCAGCGCCTTTTCCAGATCCTCGGTCCAGGTAGTAGGCTGGAGGGGATCCATCCAAACACACTACAAGCAACAAAGCACTGGATTCAGCTCGGTCGTATCTCGACACAACGGAGACGAATGCCTTGAAGCTGCCAGTACATTGAACTTGGAAAAGATATCCCATGAAACCTTAGTCTGGCAAGACTGTCAGACTAACTTGAACTTCTAGTTATATCTCAAGCAGACTATTAGTGGTGGAAAGTACAGAGAATTACGGGTACCCACACACACCCAAAGAACCATTAAAGGATGAAGAGAAACAAATTTTCTCATGTACCTGCGCCCAACTCCACGGCACTTTCCAATCTGGTGATCTGCACTGTGTGATCCTTCCAACCGAGATTAGATATTCCGTCGTCGACAAGTTCCTCGGCAGTCTGCTCCGCTCGCCAAATTGTCCAAACTTGCTCAAAATTCTGCGCTATCCAAACGGTAGCGACGATCGTGATCAATGCGCCGAGCACGACCGAGTATTCCACGGACCCCCACGTTCCACCGCGCTGAAACGGGCGCCTGAAACCCTTTGCGTCCTTATCCTTGCTCTGAGCCAGCGGAGCCATCGCGGCTTCGGATTCTCCTTCTCCTTCTCCTTCTCCTGGAGCTTCAGCAACCCTCAGCCTTCATCCTCGCCGGCACGATCCACGGAATGACAGTCGATCAGATCGACCTCGTTCAAGAAATGTGTCATCAACATGAAGGCCAGAATCTGCACAACAGCAGATCTTCTTCGCCGTCGCGCGTTGCGCTCAAGCCTCGAGTTCTCGGCTGAAGCGCTGCGCTATGCGGCCAATTCAAACCTCTATCTCAGCATGCGTGACCTCGGCCATTGACCTGTCTCCTCTGCCCTCTCTCCGAGCGAATTCATCACAAACTCCAGCCAAGACTTGGTCGATTTGTGAGTGTCAGCGTCAGAGACTCGTCATGCTCCATAGGCCCAACGTGCAACGCTCTTCAGACATTTATGTGGCCTTCGTTCCCAGTCTCGGACACGACCAAAACTCCGAGACTCTGGGCAGCCTCGATCCTTATTTTGCGCCACTTTCGCGTCACATGCTCCCACTTTTTCGGACACATTAAATAAGGCATCTTGCCTTATCGTGATTTGCTGTTGGTAAGGAATCAAGTTCGGACCATCTGTTACTAATTTCCTGATTTGCGTGAATCTTTATTGCATATTAAACGATTTACATTTCTAGATTTTTCATGTACAGTGCACCTCGAAGTTAGTAAAACATCAAAACATTCGTAAATCACGTTCACATGAGGATGAGAACGTGATTGAATATGAAGATATTTCGAGCATTTTTTTCGATGAAAAGCAGTTACAGAGCTCCTGATGTTAGCAATGGAGTCTACAAGATTTTTAATATTTATTGAAATAATTCAATTGCAGCTGTCCATTTCAATCTGTTGCCACAACTTTCAAGCCATAACATATATATCCGTAGATCAGTTTGAGAAAAACGTTCTGATTACATTTTGGAAAAGAATTACATGATGATACAGTAATACAAATATATTGATCATGTAATTCTGGGACTCTCCTACTGGTTTTGAATGAATCTCACTTTTGAAAATGAGGTCAAATGTCATGTCAATCTTAGATCACAATAAATTTTTCATTATGTGGTATTCATACATAATCAATAGCATGGAGTGAATCTGTATTCACTCCATGTTTTATATTATGAACAAAGATTTCATAGTAAAAAAAGCGTGTAATCATGCTATAAATCAACTCATTTATTTATTTACTCTCGCTATTTGGACTATTCACTACTAAGTTAGAACTACATAAGAAAAATAAAAGTATCTCTTTGACACAAGTTACTGATGAAAAGTTATGGTATATTTTTTCCATGTTTTGTGGTCTTTTTCTGAATTTACAATATTGGATTGTCAAAGCAATGTGTGAATCTTGTTCTAGACTTGTTATTGATATTAAAACGAGATTGCAAGAATAATCTCACAATTAGTATAAATTCATACGGCAGCTATAATGACGGAGCTCAAGATCATCAACCTCGTTGGATTACATCTTTTCTAGCATCAACCATAGTGTTGGCAAGTGAGATGTGTTTGTGTTGATATTTACCATTTATATGAGACAAAGAAAAATATGAAACATACAACCTTTCATTGTCATTTTAGAAAATTATTTGATGTACCGCTCCGAAGCAACACACGTGATTGGATCCAACAGGTTTCATTTACCGAATCGGATACTCTCGACGTCCTTACAGCTAGGCCTCGGCAATGTAATGTAACCTTTTAGTATTACACGATAAACTGTACTAAACAAGTAAATTACCGTTACCTTTTACCTTTTAGGATCTATCCTAAAAGGGTAAGGGGGTAATTATTGGGTACCCTGATCTTTTAACTTTTAGGGTAGAGGTAATTGGGTAATTAACCGGTAACCCTGATGTAAAAGTAAGTTTTAAGAAGTTGTAAGAATCCTTATAACGTAACCCGGTAATTACCTTGAGGTAGAATTAAAGGTTAAAGGTAGACAATAGTGACACGAGTAAAGTAAAAGGTACGGTAAAGGTAGAGATCATGGCTTACCCGGTTACCTTTTACCTTACCTTGCCGAGGCTACTTATAGCTCACCGTCACGGATGTTTCAATACAATCTAGGTTTATATATGCTTCAAGATGGATTATTCGGTGATTTTGAGTGAGAATCTCGCGGCGTTTCTTAGAAGGTAAACACGTCATGACGTCTCGGGGAGTACTTCAGCCTCATGGGTTTAACATTGTGGATAACTTTCTTTGAAATAATACTCAGCAGAAAAATTTAACATTTATTCTCGTCAGCTTTGTTGTGTTTACGTTTTTTTTTTCGTGAAGAAATACTAGGCTGATTGGTGAAAAAAAATTTGTCGATAGAACAATGCTTTCTTCCCTGATCTACTGGCTGCGGTGGATGTATTGTCGATAAAGTCGTTCAACTTCTCATCATCATTGACTGTTTTCAATCTACTCATTACTACGCTTTGGACGTTGCTGCCATCACAACAATGAAATCTTTACTGTCGGATTCATAAACAACGTTTGAAATTTGCTATGAACTGTGAAGAGAAATCTATAGTTGTGTGAATTAATGCCCGTCTTTTTCTCAAAAGTGAACATAAAACCTACAAAATTGCTGCAAACAAGTCGTCAAAATAATCTCTCACATAAGAGTACATTAGTCTGATAATGGCATTCACTTTTCCACATTATGACCCATATTATCAAATTATGAGAACTTTTATTGAAACATAGTCGACAATGGGCTGCATACTTGTCGAAGAGTAACATAGGTGAAAATGAAACTTGATAGATTCCATTAAGTGTGTTGTTTGTAGGAGTAATATCATCAAGTAATTTTTTCTTGCAATTTTTGTCAAACTTGAATAATCTCTTTCATTTATTTCAACATATTGTACAATGAGATTGAAAGGTCAAACAAATAACCGGCGACAAAATACTAGAAAGCTGAATTATCAAGCAATACTTTACAACTAATCTGATCTAATTAAAATAAGCTGGCCTTTATACTACAAGACTCTTTCACAGTAAGATATTTGATTTTCTACAATTTCTCACAAAAAAAAATTTGGGTTCAATTATTGATACTTACAATATGTTGAAGAATTAAGCTTCAAGATTTATTAATTTTCATTTCATGCACAATTTCAAGTAGTATGTCTAAAAAAAGTACAAGTAATTTAAAAATAATTTTGTCATTATAAAATCCATAATTTATAAACTATCTTATACCATCATGAGTATTGTCTTGTTATCATGAGTTTTTTTTAATTAATTTGTTAGCATACATGATTAAAGAAATATTTTTGATTTTCAATAAAATCAAAATTGACAATCATGTGTGAAGGCACATAAAACATCTTCAATAAATTTGGAATGAAACAGGTTTATATCATGATTTTTATTAAGTTAATCATAAGTATGAAAATATTTACAAAAATGTCTAGCTTGAAGTTAACATCTTAATAATTTCAGTTTTGAAACTGATTCTTTAATAATGTACTTATGATGTGATTTACTAGTTCAAAAATATATATTCTTTGGAAAAAAATTTCATGATAATAAATTGTGTTTTATTGTTTAACAATAAGATCATAATTATATGGATGAAATTGTGAGCATAATACAATTTTGAAAAGAATACAATTGCCCTATACAATGTATGCTCATACATATATGAAGTATATTTATGTGCATACATGTATTGTGATGTGATAAGTATATGTTGTAATATTATTTTTTATTTTTTATTCTTCTTTGCATCAATGAGTAACACTTCTTTTCTGAGTTTTTTTTTCAGCTACTTTTTTCGCTTTTTAGTTACAAATTTAAAATATTTACAATTTGAGACAATTTAAACACAGCATTAGCCACTCTACATTTAACACAGAAATTATTCATCAGCTTTATGATGTTGAGAAAATAAATGTATAATTTTCCTCCACATGCAACGTTAAAATTAAAGAATATTAGATTTATGAATGAAATTGTGATGAAAAATTTGTCTATAATCACCGAGATTTCAAAAAAGACTTGTTTGTTAAAACACATAGGCTCTCTATACTCCTAGCTCGCTTGTTTGAATGTAATAAAAAACATCTCGATCTGATGTGGACATGATAATTCTTCCTTCCAAAGATTAATGGCCTCATACTTGAGTAGACTGTTCCAAGTGTGTGAGGTTATCTAAGTGTAATGCAAATATAGTCACAGTATACAATTCATATGATTGATCGTTTTTTCTTGTTAGTGAAATTATCACTTCCGCTGTTTTATCTAATGTACACATTTTACATGTTTTCATCGCCCCTAGCAGCTTTTAGTACTGACACATTTCTTTAACGAAAATACTATCTTAATGAAAACACACACCTTGACCTTGACATCGCGGATTAAACAATGCATTTGGTGAATGCAAGATTTTTGGGCTGAACAAAAGTCGGGTGCAACTGATGCGTCTTACGTGAGCAGTGATGATAAACGTTGAAATTGTTTCATCACTTCCGGATCTATGCTATGTTCGAGTTATACTTTCTTTGCAGTTAGTCTTTCGTGCTGTTTGAGTCTGATTCCATATGAGGTTCAACAAACGACAGCACTGTTCTTACTGCCTCGACACTTCAGGGTTACCAGAATCCTGATCCGAATGTCAGATCAAGCCTCCTGCACTTTCTATGGCTTCGTTAGCTTCCTGCACGGCGGCCATTACCTGACTTTAACCCGGGGGTGGTCTCTCTAAATTGATCCATAGGTAAAGCCCCAGAGTAGACTAATGAGTAATGAAGTTTGCTCGTTAAAATGAAATCTGCTGCGAACTTCGCAGGTTATGGCACCATTAGAGAACGATGGTCACGCCAGCAAAAACAGAGCGACAGTATTTTTTGGTAGAACAAACCATCACGTTACAGAAAAGACTTCCAATGAGGCAGACTGAATAGTAGTACGGGTTGCACTAATTCACGCAAGATTTACTCCTTACGGATTGGATATACCCCGGAGCTCAACGCTCCACGTTCAGTTTACAGTGAATAATCGCTGAAATCGATCCTCTGCAAGTGGGGCATTCGTTACTTCGCCCTTGATGGGCGTGTAAGCAATCACTGCAGAAGAGAAAATGCATGCAGGGCATGACTAGAGCATTTCGGCTCCGGTTCATACAAATCTGGCAGATGTGTTTGTCCACCTCCTTCTCTAATGCCTGGGCAGCCATGTCAAGCTCCGTTCTGAATCGTGCCCTCTCTGACTCCTGCTTTTCTTTCTCCGTTTCCAACCTCAGCAGAGCTGATTCATATTCCTGATTGCGGTCTGCTGTGGTTTTCAGCTCATGCACGACAGACTCTAGAGACCGCACCCTCTCTCTATGGCCTTCCACGGAGAGCTCCAACAAGCTGACCTTCTCTTCGTGGAGCTCCATCGCCCTCGTGCAGTGATCGTTCAGAACTCTTTCTTTCTCCTCTCTTGCAGACCTCATGGAACACAAGGCACACTCCAGAAGGTTCAACTTGATATGAAGTTTTGTTCTGTCCTCGTTGATTTGATTAAGTCGAGCTATCAACTCCTGCTCTTGAAGCTGCAAATCGCGAGACACCCCGTTAAGTTGTTTTATGTAAGAGCAGGTGCGCTCCTCCCTCATCCTCAGAACGGAGAGATTTTCGAGCGAGTCTAAGATCATTCTACATTCCGATGCTACTCCTGTACTTGTACTTGTAGGCTCCAGGTCTGCCAGCACGGAAGCATCGTCTGCAACCCGGGGCCGATTGCTCTCCACTCCCTGAGCTTCGTCTTCTAACATCGAGAGGATGTCTTCACACACCATAATGGCCCTCTGTACAGCCAGTCCAAATGTTAGTTTATAAATAGGAATACAGAAACTTTACAAGCTCCTGAATCAATGGAATTGAAGAGTTGGGAAAACTACCAACGCCTGGTGGACAATCAATCATCTCTTGAAATCACGCTTACAGATTGAGAAATTTTTTCGGAATGTTTCTCCCCGCCAATCGGCGCTTTGCATCTGGGTCGTCTCTGGGATGTCATGTCTGCGGTATTGCTCCTTGTAGTAATTAAAGTTTAATTCTGTTGGGTAAAGTTCTCCGCAGCAGCCTCACCAGAGGCAGAGAATCCACATGTGAAAAAAATGCTCAAGCATTTTTTGCTCAAATCGTGGAAGACTGGTGCAAACCCAAAGGTCGTCCTCGTCCGAAAAAGCTCAGGGTCTGCATGGCCTGGACCGTCAATAAATGAACACTTAGACAAAATCGCTTCAGGCCCGCCCAAAAACAAGAAATCATCGAAGGATTACGAGAACTGACAATATGAATTCGTTAGGGAGAACACTTTCTTGCCAGACCAGGTTCCAGGTGGAGGTACTAATGCTAATACTCCCACGTATCCACAGGCGTGATAACAAGTTTCATTGAGACGCACCTACAAACTAATCGGCAATAATAACACATCAAATGCTTGTCGGTACTTCTCTACTTCAGCGTTTTAACATGTACGTATGCGTCTTCACAGTATACGGACATTCTTGACAAAAGCACAACTTAAGGAATTTGTCGATTAAGCTCTCTACCTCTACTGCTCAGTAAGGAGTCACTGAGTAAGAACTCGCACTTCAAGCAATTCAGCCTCGATACAAACATCCGCAGGAGGTCAATCACCGAGTCTTCAAGGTGTACAGTGCAGATCGTCACACTAACCGGCTGCTCAGGGACAAACGGGACGTGAATAGGAGAAATCAGAGCTAATCATTCGCCCCGGTTAACAAACCCTTGAAATTTAAGAACTCTTGGACAACCTTCTGTTTTCTTCTCCTCCCCTTCGCCCGCAGCGAAGAAAACTACCATTGTCAAGAGGGAAAATCATTACGGAAGCGGTGAAGTGATCCAACGCTGGTGTAGGCAAGCATGGTGCACCAAACGGGATCCCACTCAATCAGTTGCACTAAGAGAAATACGAGCTGAGAAAATTCTAGCTTTCGCCCAGTTCTGGAGAAGAGAGCAGCATGCAGAGAACGAACTGGAATTATTAACTGGAACGAGGAAGACACGTAAGCGTCGATCTCTGACATAGATCGAACTCAGCGCCTCACAGCCTCTTCGGGACTGCTCACCCGCACGTATGGCAGATCAACGATCCCCATAGTGTTCTTAACTCGGAGGTTTGGATTTCGTGCCAGATGAACCACAACCACGTTCACAACTTCATCTTGAGGTCCCCCCGCCAAAATCAGTGGTTCGCTTATTTATGCCTTGAGGCCGCATCAAGGGAACTTAAAGACCATGTGCCAAACTCCACCTCACCTCATACTCTCGATGATGATTGGAGAAGACGGCGCCGAAACTGCAGTCGCGAGAATTCTGACATCCTTCATCATGAAACCGGTGAAAATTACGTTTGCAAAACTTCTCGTCACAGGGCCGCCCGTAGCCTCCTACGCTTGTTCAACGGCTGTGTGGCAGAATCTCGGGCTGGCGAGGGATGCGCGTCGCATCCCAAGCCTGAATGATGGTCGAGATATTCACTACGACGGGTTCGACATTTTAGATGTGGATTTACTAAACTCAGTTTTTTCAGCTGGTTCCTGATTCCATGGAGGATATTAGGCTTGGTTTTCAGGTGAGACGAGAAATATCACCTTTCGGAGTAAAGTTCAAGCAATCGCGACTTCTTATGTTTCTAATTTTATGTCCTGTTCAGTATTTGATACTTGTATTGACTTTAGAATATATGGACGCCCCCGATGTCCTTAATGGGATTTGCATGGGGAAAAAAACTCTGTGAAATCTCACCTGCTCTATACTAAACGAAAACAAAACAGCGTAAAAAATATCCATCTTGGCTCCCACAACAAAACTACCGAGCTGCGTTTCTCTCACGATATACAGTACTCTGATTCAATGGTGCCTCCTATGTCTTTTACATCCGGATGTAGGAAGACGAACATAAAATTTACCAGTAGAAATATATAGAAAATTGCACTCACGGACTAAATATCGACATGGGTGCATCTCCTACAAACAAGTTCCATTCAAAAAATTTCTTGTATAGGATATTGATAATATTGTCCAAATTTAAATTCAAATTTACGACATGAGTCACCAAAACCTAGATACTCAAAACCACAAGCAGAAGTAGGTGTAATTTCAATTATGGAATTAGAACAATAAGCAATGGGTGATAATTGCAGTTGACTACATTATTTCGTTCATTCACTCAATGTATAAATCTATAAGTTAAAAATCATAGAATTAACTATTTCGTGAAGCTTGACCCTTATTCTATGTTATCACTAGTCTCACATTATTTTGGATTCTTCTTTCTCGACGGCTTTGATCATATTAATCAGCTTCCAAATACATGAAATGTACAATTACTCGAACATTTTGTTTATTATTTTTGTGCGCATGTCCTGCTGATCTTCCCTCGAAGACACAGCTGTGTTAATGGACGACAGCTGCGAATGCATCGGAATCTGGAGCTGGAGAAAGGATGTCTCAACAAGCTTGTCAATATAACAAAAAAATGTCTGGGCCTGTGTCTAAACTAAAACTAATCTCCACGCTTCTCTCATGTATCTGGATTGAAAATTGCCAATGTCCCTAACTTGTTTCATCTTTAGCTGAATTTCTTATTGATGTCTTTCTGAATTTCATCGGACCTTAATTCAGATATTTAAGAGAAGCCTGGAGATTTGTGTGCAGAAGCTAATGAGCTCCCTACTTTGACAGTGGAGAAATAAGGATTAGCTGAATGTTGAGTCAGAAAGGCACAATCAGAATGCCATCAGGGCCTGCGAAATTTGGTCGGTGTCACACAATGACAGCTGTAAGGAAGATTTGGCTGCAGACATGGCCATGGAATAGACTGTGCAGCAAGGCTTTTTAAAAGAGGTGATAGGCTTGCCGGAATGAAGCTACGAACCACAGTTTCCTTGGACTTGGTACCGTAATTGACACAGACTGATATGATTCGGATGTAGTTCGTCAACTGAATACCCGTTCTCGGCTTGAGATGGGGCACTCATAGCTTCTGCGGCTGTTGTCCAGTTTGAAGAGACTCAATTCTAAAAAAACTGGCTGAAACTTCAACGTTTGGTTCAGATTTCCCCTGCAGGATGCGCACGGTTCATCACAAGAGGAGTCAACGAAGTATTCATGGTACACGCTCGGTTATGAATCCAACTTCTACTGGTATATGAGCACGTGTAGAGGTTCATTAGATCGACTTGACCGTTGAGGACTTTGTTCTGTTGCTTGTGTGCAGGATTTACATCAGACTCAAAAGTTGGTCAGCATCCGACCCCGATAGAAGAACCTAAATACATTAGTGATGAACATCTGTCAGCCCAATCTATTTCGTCCTCTGAACTGTACAGAAATTACTGTGTGTTAGCCACATCACTTCAAATTGGGTACGATTCAACCAAGCTAGTCAATGTCAGTTTTTGCTATGTCTCGTTGAACGAAACCTTTGTCTAACATTCCGAAATCTGTTCTGTAGATCAGAGAAGTGGAATCAGTCTCTTCGAGTACAAATCTTTGAACACAGGATGAAATCTTCGATGCAATCCATATATATTATAGTCTCGTTCTTGCTTTGGACTCGTCATTGGCTTCTCCTGATGACCTCCCACATGAACAATATAGCCAAGCTCGCCAGAACAAACATGCAGAGAGGCCAATGTGCTTGATCTACAGTTCAGAGGACGAAATAGATTGGGCTGAATTTGTAGTAGCTAAATTTGGTCAATCAGGAGTAACAACAGCAAGCACTGGATCACATGAAACATTCTAATCTTAATCTGTTCAGATGGTATTCCGAGTGGAAGTCGAAGTTGCCCGTTGCCGTTCTTTTATCAAAGCTTGAGGCAGTTGTTAAAATCTATGTACTGCCTAATCCAGTCAAACTTATCTTATCTGACACCGTTTTTGCGAGAGATATTGCCCGAGGAGTTCCGATCCTTGTCGAGGATTACGAGGTGGATTTCTGCTTGCAATTTCTGTAACATTATTTGTCTTTGGTACAGATATCTGAGCCAGGTCGATCTAAGTTGGGTGTAACATTGTCCCATAATCATGAGTATGATTGTGGCACCAGATTTACCACAGGTGCGGAGTGACGTAACAAGCTTGTGAAATTATGGATGTAATAAACAGAACACCACTGCAAATTGCATGGGAACCCTTCAACAAGGTCTCCTATAGGTCGTACGGCATACGAGGACGCTCACTGCTTTTTTGCATCCTTCAACCTGTGACCAAGTGGAGTCAGAAGCAGCTGTCAGGTGATGAGAAAACTTCATGTGATCACGATGCACAGGAGCTTATCTACGTGTACACGTACTTACATGGCTACGGACCTTGTAAACATCTGACATGAGCAGGTTTGAAGAATCGTGAGAGGGCACTGTTAAAAAACCATGTCTTTGTAGACATGGTTTTTTTCAATGACTCGTTATAAATGCAAGCTTTTGCAGTTTAACATGCTAAAAGGTAAATTTCGAGATTTACGATGTATGGAAATCCATCTCCCGTAGCTTCACATGCTACACTGAACTCGTTACAAGTGAATGGTACTACTGTGCAAAAAACAATCAGTTTTATCGTCCAAAGGGACTCTTATGTACTTTCCAAACAAACCATCTATATACAGACAGGAGAGAGAATTGTCTACATAACTGCCTAATGCTCATGACTGTAACTGAAAATGGGGAGCAGCATTGTTCATGACGATACCTTCGGCCAGCTTTGTAACAAGAGGCTATATAGAAACATGTCCTAGCTTGAAGTTGGACTTTAATCCCAACCAAGTGCCACCTGCATAAACTCGGACCTAACTATGGCCTTTTGCCGCGAACACATTGGCAAATAATAGCATTGATTGAAAATGTAATCAAACTGAAAACATTGGCAAATAATAGGCTCCATTGGCCTTAAAAAAAGTATGAAAGTGTTGAGTCTCTCCTCCGAATTTTCCAATTTGTTGTTAAAGATATTTAATGAGTTCAGAAGATAGTGTTGTACCTTCAAAGATTGATTTGTCTAGAACTCAATATCTAAAATAATTTTGTTTGGCGGTGGGTGCTTGAACTCAAAAAGCAGAACAGCAGAAGGCCTATTAGCCGTCCCACTAAATACCTGCGTATCTCACTTGTCGGAATTCAAGTTCAAGATGCTATCAGTGTCTGAAAGCAAATTGCGAACCTCCGCGCAATTCCTGCTGGAAGTGAAGTTAAGTACCAGGGTTGACAGACTTAATGCAAGGAAACAGGGGCCAAGTGGATAACAACAGCAACGGGAAGACCCCATCAAGCACAAGATATATTTTAGATTCAAAGGGTACCAGGGGCTAGCCCCGATAAAATCACAACCAATGTGAATGAATCACAACTTTCCTCCACTTTAATCAGAATGTATGATTCAAGTTAAATTTATATATGCGTATATGAATATAAACGTGATTTTTCTTAAGGATCGAAAGAAAAAAAGAAAAACTACTTAGCAACCAATATACTTTTCTATACTACCACATCACGTGAGAATGAGATGAATAGGAATACTCTGAATAAAGTGGAGGAAATGTACACAATGATCCAAGTTCTAGCCTGAATGTAATTGTTGCCTGGAAACATTCCGGAAGACTTTCGGGAAATAATAATAAGGCGGAGTGGTGTCCAAAAGGCAGCTTCTGTGGGACCGTCAGAAGGCTCCCGACGAAACAGACCGGTCTTCTGGATTCAGCAGTAGATGGAATTCGTTCCATACGTCTAAAACCCTAAGTCCTCGGACAAAATCACAGGCACCAAAAATAACCCTAAATCCCTAATTCGTGATAGTTGAAGTTTTCGACAAAATTATGCTCGAGCTTGTCCCCTCCCAGGGAAAAATCCGCCAGTGTAAGAAGAGTCTCGGCCTATGAATCTGTGCCCCGGCGTCCCTCGCACGACCCGACTCCATAACTGATTCCTGCTCTATCTATCCATCGCTACCTCTATCTCCTCCCTTCCGGGGTTTGTATTTCTGTTTCGTTTCTTCTTCGGTGCAGGTCGACGTAAGCCGGGTCGGGGGTGCTAGAGGCCGATTGAGATCGTTTTCGCGTGGGAGGAAGTTAATCCTTTGCAATGGCCGAGGAAGTGCAAGATGGAGTGCGCACTCCGGATTCGAAAGACCAACAGCAGCAGAGCAAAGCGTTGGACTCGCTTACTGACCATGTCGAAGAACGGCAGCTTGATTCCACCAGAGTCCAACAGGTCAGTGGATTTTATGATTTAGAACCAGAATTTTGTTTTTCTCAAGATTCTGGTTGGAATCCGAAAGATTAAAAAAAATTGCCCTGAGATTGGGTCGATTTTACTGAACGTACGTAGGAACGAGTTTATTGTTGAGAATGTTCTGCACCATCCAAAAATCGACCACAAATCGACAGAATTTCAAAAAGTATGATCCACAGTAGTCTTCTTCTGTTTAAGCGTGTCAGATTTTTCTTTGTTTTCTGTGTCTAGGCCATGGAATCTATCAACGCAAGGGCTGAAGCTGATCGTCACGCCCAGAGACTGAAGTAAGTTTCGTAACTTGTACATCAATCAACATCTGAAATAAGTACAAATTTACTTCACAATTTTTCAGGTCGAAACGGATGTGCTGAAGTTAAAACTCACAGCTTAAGCGGATGGTGGTTTGACTTTTAACAGAGAGAAAGAGCTTGCAGCTGTGAAGATCAGTCAAGAAGATGTAGACATCATGGTGGAGGAACTGGAGGTTTGTCTGCCTAACCTATCGAAGTTCTTGTGACAAGTTTCTGCTCGAATAATTTTGATTGGCCATTCGCGCTCTGAAGTTTAGAGTGGATTACTGGACGCATCATAAGAGTATGTGTCCTCTGTGTATGGCTTCTGAAACTCAGCACAGTCCCCCTTCGGCCCGAACTTCGTGTTGCGAAATGTGAAGAGTGGTTTTGTCTCCTGTGAGCAGTTTCTAAACGTTGACCATCACTGCTGTTTAGTGACAGTAGTCTCAAACGGATCAATTTCGTGGAAGTTTACTAGTTCACGTTTCTTCCGGTTTGTTCTTTTTTTTGTTAACCAAAGCAGCAGATGATCACTTACGGAAATCTACTACATTTCTCAGGCTTTCAAGTTCATTCATCTTGTGGAGAAAAAATCTCGTTTTCCGGGTGCAAATTCACTGCACTTCTAACTTTCCAATATGGACCTCAGCTGGACAGGAAAGTGGCGGAAAGGAGACTGAGAGAACACAAGGGTGATGCGATCGCGGCAATCCGTTCATTCCTCAACGACTAGCTGTACAACAGTGCGTGCGACAACATCGTACACATATCAGTGTCCAGAAGGTTAGTGAAGTAATGTATCGTTGTAATGTTCAACAGCCCGAAAGAATCATGGAGGCCTTTTCCACATTTTTGAAGGTTAGTTGACAGCTACTAGCTACTTAGCTTCAGGTAGAAATTGCTGTGCGTCTAGATCTTATCGGTGCAAACACTGGGACCATGGAAAGTAGCACTTGTTTTAACTGCTTATATGCCATCCTTCACTATCTGCGTTGTGGTAGTGATTATAGCTACCGTTATTTGCTGCAGTTGGCAGGCAACCTGATCGATGATCAACAAGACTCACATTGAGACTTTGACCTGGAGAGAATTCGTTTAAGCTGCTTAGAGCTTGAGGTTTTCGAACATTTTTTGTCGTCTGCCGCCGTGTCGCGGAACATGAGATCGCTCCAAGATGAAAGGTCTGACTTGCTGAAGAATATATACTGGTCACATGTCACGATTGCGTCGTGGAGGACACAGTTTTGACCATCGTTTGAATGTGGAAGGATTCCAACCTTTCACAAATGGCATTCCGGTTAGTGATGTAGTCATTGTTTTAAGCTGCAAATGTTTTAATTCGCAGTGAAAGCACGAAGTCAGAGAACTATCAATTTGCAGTCGCTATTGATCTGGGTATGAGCATTCGTTATATTTATTTTTCTCTCTGTAATCGATCTGTTGTAGTGCAGGCTAGGGGTACATTGACGTATCCTGTGCCAAACTTGTCCAAGTAGCTAGTAGGGGAGTTGAACTTGAGGTTTTTGTCAGGATCAAATTAGAAGATTTCAATCAATAAAACAATTGAGATATCCTTCAGACTTCGAACGGCTGCTTACGCCGTGCTGATTGTGCTCTGACTTCCAGAGCAACGTTTTGGCGAATAACTTGGTGCAATAACAAACTCAATAACAAACTCATCTTTCCTGGCAGCTTTGTCTCTTTTCCATGGAAATTTATGAAGCCTTAGTCTATTGGTGCTTTTAAGCACGGTCTGTTTTGGGCTCTAACCTATCCTCAAAGTGTCCAGGCGCACTCTATTTCACCCCGTTTATATCCTGAGATGGTTACTCCTCCATACTTCTGGAATGCAGGTGTGCAGGGATAAAGTCTTCTCGACTTTTACACCTTCCTACGACACCGCGAGTCCCTCTCTACGTCGACAGGAAGTTACAAAAGCCAGATGAAGTCATTCTAGCAGTCATTCATAGCTTCAGTACTCTGTATTTTCTCACAGCATTGCAATCAACCTCTCTATAGTTCATGATAAATTACGTCCCTATTTGTGAGTACCGAGGTCGTAAAACAAACTCGTCTTTGGGATTCTCATCCGTGTGGTCTGCCAGTCCGCTGTTCTCTGTCCTGTTTTGCTTCGAGCTAAACTTCTACCGTCATACCGAACTGTTTTGATGTTTCCATGATAACGACCCAAGTTTGATATATAAGTCAGCGTCATGTAATACCCAACAAACGCTGCTACTCTACCCAACGTACAGTAATACTAAGCTTCTCCAAACGAGAAGCTTAGTATCTAACCTTCAACACATGCGGATGGGACATATTCCGGTGTCAGCCGTGACGACAAACTAATCCCCTGACAGTTGACTGGTTGTCCCCAACCTAAACAGCCACGGGGACTCGAGGATGAATTAGATTCTCTTATAACCCTCTCTCATTAACTCAAAGATATCCAGTATGGACTAATTTATTTATTCTTTACTTTAGATGGTATGAAATTGTCCAAGTTTCTCTTGTTGAGAACTTGATGTGGCATCCTTCACCGAGTCATTTCACATAGGAGTTTGCGTTGGCAAACTCCTATGTGAAATGACTCGGTGAGTGACTCGTGTTCACTACTCATAGCGAACACGTCAGGAGAGAGGTGGGCACATTAGCTAATCATACTAACTCGTTAACTATATGCATTCATCCTCGATCTATCCACGTAATCATGTAAAAATTAAAGATAACCATTATCGAAAATTAGCACTTACATATAAAAGATTCTTTTGAAAAACAATCTTATATCTTAAGAATTGTTAACTTCACCACATTCCCCGCATCGAGTATAGGTTCAGGAGTCTTTCTCATTTTCTTTTCCCCTTGCAAAAGCTGCTGTAAGTGGTGATACTTCGTACGCATATGGAGGAAACACTAGGTTGGTGACAAACGGTGTATTGGCTCCATACATTATTGTCTTATGGCTCTCTAGGTTTCTTGAGCGGATCCCACCAATTTACTCAAAGATTTCATCAACTCATGCATTTAGTTCGATCGCTCTAGGTGGTCGGCATTGTACATGATCAGGAGGTAGTCAAAGCATACTATAGATAGAGCAAACAACCTATGCGAACATTTGATCATCACCTCTTTAAGTACATTTTGATCGACGATCTTTACACCATTGCTAATCCAAAGATCGGGCTAGCTCAGCCTTGAAAACCACCATTTTTTTGGTTCCCAACTCTTTGCTTCTCCTGCCCAATCGTTGGCTTTAATAGGATTTTGTCCAAACTTTGAATCTTGTTGTTGAACTTTTATGTCTCACCGTATTATAAATTTGTAATCAACATCAGTTTTAGCAAATCTCTCCTTGGATTGGAAATAGTATAGTGTAATGCTAATTAATGTGGATATATTTATTTTGTGCTTGCAATCACACATCAAGTATTTCTATGGACAAATTTCTCTTTTCAATTGATTTCAACATAAAGACTTTGATCAAGCTTAGTTATTCAAGACTATGCAATTTCTAGCTAGGAAAATCACAGGGATCGGAAACACGACTAAATAGATTCCAAAATTTTATTGTGGTTTATTCCAAGCAAATTAATAAGAACAAAACTACTGTATTGTTTAAGGCGTTGAACTAGGTTTTTCCATCCTTAGTATTCTCATTCTCGCACAGAAGATATCTGCCGTCAACACATATGACAACAGTCATGACAAGAATTATTCTTAACAATAGCCTCCATAACCTATATTACTCAAACAAAAATCCTAGAAGTAAACCTAATATACATCATTCTTTAAACTAGACCTAACTAGTACTAAGGCTTTGCCAAAACATGATAGAATAAAAATCTAACAAGTTCACTAAAAATGTTAGTAAATTCTACTTGTGTTTCTCATTTGAAATCTACATAATGTCTCTTAAACTCTCCAAAAGAATAATTTTGTTGAGGGTATCAATTTGATAAAATGTATGATCAATCTTGATTAGCTCAATGTTATTCTTTAAAACTACATGTTTGATGAAGTGGCATATTATGTCAAAGTTTTTCACTCTGTTGTACATATGTTAATCTAGAATAAAATATAATTCATTTTGACTATCTTTATAAAGATTGACAAACTTATATTTCAATCCCATTTCAGTGATAAGCCTATACAATCAAATAGCTTTCTTTGTTGTTTTTGCTATTGCAAGTAATAAGAAACAAGTCGGTTTATTACAATATCCTATTCCTTAACAACAATAAAAACATATTATCATAGATCTTGTATGAGAATCATCAAAAATTTTGTTAAAAATATGATATTTGTGACCGATTGAACTAGATATTTTGCAATAGTCCAACCACAACAACAGAATTAGCTTCACAATTTAATAAATTATATCATGATATAATATTTTTTGGTACATGAATTAAATAAAAGTATTCATTTTATTAACTTGTGGAAAACTTTGTTAAGTTTTTTTCAACCAACACAACTTATTTTACACTAACACATTTACTTTCCATTAACTAAGCACACGGTTCGTTATTAAAAATTATGAAAAAATGCAATATAAAGTAACTATAATTCTATCTTGAATAACCTTTACTTTTAATTCTCACTAATTAGAGATGGTTACATCATGTTCTTAGTCGTACAAACTTAGCAATGAAGAGCAAATTGAACACAAAGGAAATAGAGAATTAACAAAGATAGAATTGACATGCATATGCTTTATGTTTGCAAACTGTATTTTTCTTTCACTATGAATTAGATGGTTTGATAATTGTAGCATTATTTTTTATCATTTGTAACACTAGGGTTTAGAGATAAGTTCACTCGAAGATAGAAACGTAAACTCTGAAGATGAGAGATACCAACAATGGTTCTCCTCTCCCTTATATAGCTCTCACCAACAAGTACAAGGTGATAAGATCTAATCCCCACCATCCATCCCACTCCTAGTGGATGGATGACATGGCGGATAACCCTAACAAGCGCACGGATCGTTGACGTGACGCATCCAACTAACACACTAAGTAACACACTCAATCCTTACCTACAGGCACACGGATTGCTGACGTGACACTGTCAACTAACACGTCCACTCTGTACCTACCAAGTGCGCGGATCGCTGACGTGGCAGCTATGACTAGTGCACACTAAAGTATCTACATCAATATTCAGAGTAACCTCTACTTTAGTTCTAACTAACTAAAGATGGTTACAAACCTCCCTCCTTTTAAGATGCAACGTCCTCGTTGCACATACGTTCAAACTCCTGAACTATCAAAGGTGCATTTGCTAAATTTTTAGCTGGTTCCCAAGTTGATTCATACGATGGATAGCCTTTCCATTGAATCAAATACTCTACTTTGGGATATTTATGACCTCGGATACGTTTCTTGAGTATCTTTTCTACCTCAAACTCCTCATGATCTGCTATCAAGGTTGGAAGAGGAGGTGGTGTTGGTTGGTTAATGAATTGTTTTGGTCGTGGTACATGTTTTCGCAATCGTGACACATGAAATATTGGATGTATTTTCATATGTGACGGAAGTTCCAACTTGTATGACACTTCACCAACACGCTTCAAAACCAAAAATGGACCAATGAACCTAGGGTTTAACTTTGGTGTTCCTACAAGAGACAAATTCGTTTTAGATAACCAAACATGATCTCCAACCTCAAAAATCACTTCTCTACGATGAGCATCGGCATGCTGCTTTTGCCGATTTTGAGCTATCACCAACCTCTCCTTGGCCTGATGTAGTCCTCGGTGAATATGCTCCACAAATTCGTTGATTGCTGCAACTTTGGTCGAAAACTCCTCTCCTTTGGGAAGTCTCATCAAACTTGAAGGAGTTATAGGATGAGCTCCATACATAAGAAAAAATGGAGACACTTTTGTGGATGCATTAACAGAATTGTTATATGCAAATTCCACAAGTGGCAAAAGGTTGTCACACTCTTCTTGCTCTTCTAATGTGAATGCTCGTAGCATATCCTCTATGGTTCTATTTGCCCTCTCAGTTTGTCCATCAGTTTGAGGGTGATAGGCCGTTGACATTGCTAGTTTTGTTTTGAAAAAACTAAACAAAGTTTTCCAAAATAAACTAGTGAAGTGAGTACCTCTATCCGTGATTAACACTTTGCTTAAGCCATGATTCACAAAAACTGCATCTAGATAAAATTGAGCTAGTTGTGGAGCTGTTACTATTTTTGTGGTTGGTCTGATGTGAATCATCTTGCTCAATTTGTCCACAAAAATCACCACTGAATCATGTCCTAACGAAGTCCTTGATAACTCACATACAAGATCCATGGTGACATATTCCCACCGCTGTTTGGGAAGGAAGAGGCTGTAATAAACCGCTGGTTTTTGATTACTTGCTTTGTATTGTTGACAAGCAACACAACTTCGAACATAGGACTCCACAACCTCACGTATTTTGGGCCAATAGTACACTCGTTGTATACTCTCCACGGTTTTCTCCACCCCCACATGACCTGCAATGGCTGTATCATGACTTTCTGCCAAAATCATTGTGCGCAAATCGTGATCTTGTGGAATCCATATACGCTGATTGTAAAACGCCAAACCTCGAGATTTCTCTGCCTTTCCAGTTTGTAGTGCCCGAGTGATCTCTTCATCCTCCTTTGTGGCTTCTGACATCTTGCTCCACCAATCCACCTGAATTTTCACT